CCATGTGATTATTAACCTAAAATGCCTGTGGAGATACTTAATTCTTCATTACTCAGATGGATCTGTCTCTTTAATTACAGTTACGACTCTTTCTCAGTGATGACAAGATGACATCGCACACTAAAAAATGTAAGGTGTTACCAAATTGTAGTTTCAGTAGTTGTTAAGTATCAAGGAGTCAGAACTGAATCATAGTTGCCTGTTCAGTGGGTTTTCATAGGCAGTAAATTACAGAGAAGAAGATTGCCCAATTTCTCCCGTGAAGCACCTGGCGGATTCTAACAGCATGCTTCCCAGCTGGCAATGCATCTCCTTACCACTAGGCTACTAGAGCTATCATTTTCTTCAAAGATATACTTTCCTGAAGATATATTTCCTGTATTAAACTTTTAATCACTTTACATATGTAACTGTTGTTGCTGTTGTGATATGCCATTGAGTTGTTGTACATAGAAATCCTATGTACAACAGCTCTGAACCCTGCTCTCTCATGAGCCAACCTCATTCATTGTCTCTGACATACCTTCCCCCATTAACCCAGTCACTGAATCAGTCCATCTCATCCAGGGTCTTCCTCTTTTGCATTATCCCTCCACCCTCCCAAGCCTGGTATCTCTCTCCAAGGATTGGTTCCTCCTTTCAACATGCCCAAAGTATCTCAGAAAGAGATTCAGAATCCTTGCCTCCAAGGAGCAGCCTGGCTTCACACTCTCCAGGATGAACCTGTTTGTTCTCATAGAAATCCACGGTATATTCAATACTCTGCTCCAGCACCACAGCTCAAAGGCATCATTTCTCCTTCTATTATCCCTAGTCATTGTCCAGCTTTCTGATGCTTAGCATGTAATTACAAAGACTGATCTGGTGGACAGTGTTTGGTGGAGCTTCCCAATTAAAACAAGCTTGGAGGCAGGAGTGGCAACCACTTCTGAAACAGCTTGCTTCCAGGAGCTCTATGAACATAGAGAAATCATGAAAATTCTACAAGTGTTCAGGTTTTTCATACAGGGTGTCTCTATGAGTTATCTACAACTTGACAGCACTTAATAACAACAACAACAATGAGAGAGCTCTGTTGGACTAGTGGATAGAAAGTTAAGCTAACAAGCCAAAGGTAAGTGATTTTAATCTGTGGCCCTCAGGTCTGGTTTTAATTGTTTTTGGTCAAACATTCTTCTAAGTGGTATAGCACTGGTCTGTCCATTTGCTCTACAGAGGTTAACGCATGGTTGCTGTGATGCAAAACACTGTGACACTGATGTGTTAAATGAAATAATGGTTGCCCATGGTGGACAGTGTTTTGTGGAGCTCCCCAATTAAAACAAGCTTGGATGCAGGGTTGCATTCATTTCCAAAATAGCTTGCCTCCAGAAACTGTAAGAACATGGAGAAATGATGACAGTTACACAAGTTTTCATGTTTTTTGTTCATAGGGTCACTATGAGTCATCTACAACTCCATGGCACTTAACAATAAGCAACAACTACAATGACCTGGATCACATGAACCTTAGTCTTCAGATTGACATCATTGCTCTTCAGTACTTTGGAACAGTCCCTGGCAACAGACTTTCCCAGTGTGCTTTGTCTTTTGATTTCTTGGCTGCTGGTACCAAGACTGTGGAGTCAAACAAACTGTAATGGTTATTAATCTCAATCCATTCACCATCTATCATCAATCTGCCATTTGGCCTAGTGGTGGGAATCTTTGCTTTCTTGATGTTGAGCTTCAATCCATATTGAAGGCTGCAGTCTCTAAAATTGTGTAGCAAAATGCCTCAGAATCTCCTAAATTTCGACAAGCAATGTGTGTCATCTTCATAAGGCAGGTTAGTGAGTAGTCTTCCTCCAATCCTGATGTCACATTGCTACTCACAGAGCCCAGCCTACTGGGTTACAACAGCCTTGCTGGAAGGTATAGTATAAGCTTCCCCAAAATTTCATGTTAAAAATTATAAAAAAGACAATTGTCTTAGAAATGAATGAGATGAACAAGTTTTTTTCTAGTAGTAATATAATGGACTGCAAATGCATTTTAATAATATAATGTAATACATTTTTTATTGTACATAGGGTTTTCAGAGGCCTGCTATTTCAGAAGTGGATGGCCAATCCTTCTTCCTAGTCTGTCTTAATGTGAATGTTCAGATTTAGAGAAGTATCAGACAGACCAGCAAGTTAAAGGTATATCCCTTATTGCGGAGTTAACTTTAGTGTCAGTGTTGTCCCTGCCTTTCTCACACGCGTCTTTACCCACTTATTTCCCTGCTTCACCTTTCCCTGCTCCACCATCCACCAGGATACCCATCTACTTCTACCCTCTCCCTTCACATCTATCTCCCTTTGACCAGCCCTCCATCTAATAACTTATATATGAAGCTTCCATGGCTTCTGTGATTCCAAACACATCAGCTGATGGTAGTTCCTTATGTTGGGATCAATGTCTCTGAAGTTTAGTCGTAATGTTTTCCGAGCAAAGGTGATGCATCCTGTAGAACTGGTGTGTAGATGGGCTTTTCTTGGCCCGAGGGCCTGCGGCCCTCGGGCCAGAACAAATGTCACACGGTTTTTGCGTCTTCGATTACCTGGGAGGATGGGTGGGGTCTGCGGGGGTCTTAGACTGGCCTCTAAGCTGCCCAGCTTCAGCTAGTCGGATGCCTGTACCCCCTCTCTGAGCAGCCTGCCAAATGAATGTTGCGCGGTTTTTGCATCTTCACAAAAATGTTGTGAGGAGAGACCGGTCCTTGGAGAAGGACATCATGATTGGGAGGGTAGAGGGACAGCACAGGAGAGGAAGGCCCTGTATGAGGTGGATTGATTCAGTGACTGGGATAATTGGGATAGGAGCGTCAGAGACACTGCGATTGGCACAGGACAGAGCGGAGTTTAGGGCTATTGTACATAGGGTTGCTATGAGTCGCAGGTGACTCGACGGCACATAACAACAACAACAACAATGTAATATAAAAATAGAAGAAAACATTATAAAATATAGCACACTTAAATCCCATAAATGTAGTCCTACATAAGAATCATTTAACTATTTTAATAAATAGTGGTATGTATTAGGTATTTATTTAGGCATGTAGGTATGAGTTACAGAAATTAAACTCTACACTATTTACTTCTTCATATCAGTTTTTCAAAGCCCTCAACATTTTTATTTACTTCATTCAATTTGTGAAGCTTCATCTGACATACTTTGGGCATATTGCAAGGAGGGACCAGTCCTTGGAGAGGGATGACATGCTTGGGAAGGTGGAGGGACCGGGTAAGAGAGGAAGACCCTTGATGAGATGGATTGATTCAAGACTGGGGTAATGGTGATAGGTGTGTCAGAAACAGATGGCATTAGATAGAGCAGCGTTAAGGGCTGTTGTACATAGGGTCACTATGGGTTGCAGGTGACTCAGTGGCACAAAGCAACAACAGCAAAATTACGGTTGACAGAACTTTAATCTATTGAACATATATATGTTCTTCTCTTAGAATGGATGTGGCATTTTTTTTTCTTCCTAATCAACTATAGAATTACTTATAATAAGAGAGATGAGTCTGTATGTTTTACATAGTGCTGATTCTTTGCAACGTAGTATTTCCTTATTTAGGAATTATAGGAGTTATCCTCAATGAACATAGTTAAAGAAACATTTTCAATATGATCATCAACTATAATTAATATTTGTAAAGCAAAGTTTTAAGGAAGACTTTAAAGATCATTGCTGTTGGAATAATTTCTTCTTTCATACACTTATGTTATCTGAAAAGTAATGATTAGAATATGTACAACATATTAATAGATATTAGCAGTTATTAAAAAAAATCCCATTTCCATTCACAGTTACAGATATGATGTTTATTTTTAAGTAAGAATAATATATATATATATATATTAATATTGAAAGAGCTGTTGTGGTCTAAGAAAGTGTTCTCCAATCCCAAATGCAAACAGTTTGAATCCACTAGCTGCTGTGTAGGAGAAGGAGGGGCAATTTTTCCCATGCCTCTGAAAACATACAAGAGGGTTAGCTTTGGGTCAGGTCTGACTCAATGGTCCACAACAGGAACAACACATTAATATTAGAGATAAAAACAATCTATTGCATATGAGTATTATTTATAGTATCTTTTCCAATGAACTTAATATGTTTTTTTCTTTCATGTCTTGTTTTGCTTTGTTTTTAATAATGACAATTGAATGTTTTTTATTCAATCATTCATTTTTAAAACTCAAACTAAATCTATTGACATTGAGGCATTTCTAATCTTCCATCAGGTTTCCAAGGATGTGAATCTTTATGAGAGGATGTTGCCACCCTTTCTCCCACAGAATGACTAGTGAATTCAAACCAATGTCACTTGGTTTAGTAGTACGATATGCAATGCCTCAGGCTGTGAGAGTCCTATAGTATCTTAAAGTTTAATGTTAATAGCAGAAACTATGGAACAGTTTAAAGTACAGTTAGTAAAATATAAAATCTAGTGGTGTAGTCTGAAAGAAGTTGTACTGCTTACTCAAGAACATGCCTTTCTCACAGATCAAATCTACCAGAGGCTCCACAAGAGAAAAAGGGATAATTTGCTCCTTATGATTTAAAGCCTGAGGAAATTCAATAGAGGGTCATTGATGAGTCTGCTCCAATTTGACCCCAGCGAGTTTCTGAGCAATACTCCTAAATTCCAATTAGAGCAAGACATGGTAGTTTAGTAGATTAAGTGTTGGGATGCTAACCTAAAGGTCAGCATTTCAAATCAACCAGTCAGTGCTGTGGGAGAAAGGCAGACTCCTCCAGTTAGGATTTATATAGCTTGGGTCATTTTCAAAATCAGAAATAACTCAAGAGTAGTGGAGTTTCATTTGTTTGTTTTGGGGTTTATGCTGCTGTAAACCAAAGTAAACTTATTAGAACTGTAAACTTTTACAGATTATCACAAGGAAATGTATTACTCATTAATGAAAACAAGAATGGGAACAAGTGAAATATTAAATCTTGCACTTACCAACCTCCACAACACTAGAACAGTTGGGATCTGTGAAGCCATCTGGACACTCACAGGAAAAGGAATCATCAGCCAATCCTGACAAACAGATACCTCCATTTTCACATGGATTGGGATCACAAATATCACCTAGGATGAAAGAAACAGAGTTTTATTACTCTTTTAGTTTGCTGTTGTTGTTGTTATGTGTCATCAAGTCGCCAGACTCACAGCAACCCTCTGTATAAAAGTTGTAAATCCTGTTCTATTCTGTGCCAATCTCAATGTCTCAAATACATCTATCATTTTTACCTCAGTCCATCATTCCTCCTCATCGAGGGTCTTCCTCTCCTGCTCTGTCCTTTCCTCCTCCCAAGCATGCTGTCCCTCTCCAAGGACTGGTTCCTCATTGCAACATGTCCTAAGAATGTCAGATGAAGCTTCAGAATCCTTGCTTCCAAAGAGCAACCCGGCTTCACTCTCTCTAGGACAAACCTGTTTGTCCTAACAGTCCATGGTATACTCAATACACTTCTCCAACACCACAGCTCAAAGGCATTGACTCTCCTTCTATCATCCTTATTTCAGTTTGGGATGATAAAAATGAACATTGTTCTTTCCTTGTTATGGTCATTAGGTGTCATCAAGTTGAATAGGACTCATATTAACTTTATGAACAACAGATGTGAACCATGCCTTACCCGGCACCATCATCATGATCTCTGTAGCCCACTTGGTAAAGAGTGGTGCTGCCAACTCAAAGGTGGGATGTATAAAGTCACCAAATGCTCTATGGGAGAAAAATGGAACGTCTCCTCCCATGAGATTTACAGCCTCTGAAAACTCACTTAAGGATCGATCAGTCATGAGTCAGCACTGACCGAACTTAAATGAGTCTGTGTGTGTATGTGTGTGTCGGTCTTTGTATAAATACACATGTATACACATACAATAATATATAAAGGATTCCTATTTACCAAGTGTATGGAATTGTGCTGTTAATCCCAAATCATGTGGTTCAAACCCACCAGCTGCTCTACAAAAAAATATGAACAATCTTCTCCCATGCAATTTACAGCCTCTGAAAACCTGCTTTAGGGTCAGCTATGAGTTGATACTGACTTGATAGGACATGAATATCTATCTATCTATCTATCTATCTATCTATCTATCTATCTATCTATCTATCGATATATTAGATATAGAGATAGAGACAGAGATAGAGATAGAGATAGAGATATTATATAAAATATTAAATAGAAATATTTCCATATTTACAATTTTTCTTGTTGTGTACCATCAAGTTGGAACTGACCTACAGCTGACACTCTGGTGAGTTTTAAGAGGCAGTAAATCTCACAAGAGAAAACCATCCTTCTTTTGTGGAGGAGATAGTGAATTCAAACCACATTACTTTGGGATTGTAGCATATAGACAAAAATACACATTTAAGGGAGCTCTGGTAGCCTAGTGGTAAGAAACTGCGCTGCAATCTGAATGTATACAGTGTGAAACCACCAGTTGCTCTATGGGAGGAGGGACAATTTCCTTCAATGCCATTAAGGCCTCTGAAAACCCACTGCAAGGTTAGCTATGTGTCAGTTCCAAGTCAATGACACACAGCAACAACACATGATATACTTTATGCACACATATACATATAAAATATAAAATACTCATCTGAAATCGTGTGCTCTTTAGTCAGATGTCACATAACATGGTAAAAGTGTATTTCTTATTTTATTAATTGAAGGGTGTTTTTTTCCACAGTATAGAAATAGTGTATAATTTGTTAATGTTTAGCTTACATAGCTCTGAATTTAAAAATTGCTTTAATAAACAACTCATACAAGTAGCTAAGAAGTCGACTCCAATGCATAGCCACCCCCAACCCTTTCCCTGTGTATCTCACTGCTGAACTGTGCTCAGTAAAGTTTTTAATAGTTATTGTTTTGAAAGGGTCATATCTTTTGTGAGGTGCCCTTGGCTGCATTATAAACTCTAGCCGTATGGTTAGTAGTCAAGCTTGTTAAACATCTGTACCATGCAGGAACTCCTAAATAATTAAAATGTAATCTAGAAATTCTCTCAGCTAAACAGATAAGCTTCTGGAAATTTTTAAGGGCATTGCCTCAGAGTAGTCCACTTGACACGTCCAAAGTAGAATTGATTAAGTGTGGAGTATCAAATATGAGTAAAATAAAATGTGACTGAAGTCTTACTATACAGACAAAATTTCAATTAGACTCATAGATTCTCATGGAGAGGATAAGAGAGCTCACTCACTACCATCACGTCTGTTCTGACTCATAGTGACCCTCCAACAAGTTTCAGTGTTTTGGAAGGAGACCTCTTTGCACAGAGCAGCTGGTGTATCTGAACTGCTGACCTCTTAGTTCACAGCCCAATACACTTCATTATCACACTACACAATCTCTATAAAAAGGCAGCATGGTACACTAGGAATCTCTATAAAAAGGCAGCATGGTAAGAGGGAGATCTTGGGTGGTACAAATGATTAGTACACTCATATGCTAGCCAAATTACATTTATTATTATTGTTTTTTTTTATTTATTATTATTGTTAGGTGCTGTGAAGTCAAGTAGTATTTATTTGTAGTGACCCTATAAACAACAGATCTGAAACTTATTCTATCTTGTGCCATTTTCATCATCTCTGACACACTTGAGTTTAGTGCTGTAGTCACTGAGTCAATTCATCCCCATGAGGGTATTCCCTTCTTTTCTGATCCTCCACCATTCCATGCATGATGTCCCTACCTAAGGAATCGTGTCTATCAGGAACATAATCAGAGTATGTGAGATGAAACTTCAGTGTCTTTTGCATGACTCGTTTCAGGAACATTAAAGCTGTCCTTTCTAGCCAAAGCACAGAGGAGGACAAGGAATAAAGGGGAAAAGAGAAATAGAGATGAAGTCCAAAAAGTAGCAAGGTCATAGAAATAATGGCCTTCTATGCTGTGCCAAAAATATAGGGTTTTATCTTTAAGCATTAGAGAATCATAAAGTACTTCAAGCATGAGAAATATATAGCCACATTAGTGTTTCACAATGATTGCTCATGAAGCATTGCAGTGGATCAAATGGAAGGAGGCAAAGCTAACAGCAAAGGACTAAACATTATCGAGGTTGTTAACAATATTAGCTTGCTCAGCTCCACAATAAACACTCTTGGCACCAGCAGTCAGGAAATCAAAAGATGAATTGCACTGGAGAAAATATGCTGTCAGGGTCCTCTCCAGAGTATTGAGAAGCAACAATGTCTGTCTGGAGACTAAGGTGTACCTGATCCAGGTCATGATGTTCAAAATAAATAGTTATTCATCAGAAAGCTAAATAATGACGAGGGATGATAGAAAGAAAATTGATGTCTTTGAGCTATGGTGCTAGAGAAGAATATTGAATATAGTATGGTCTGTTAGGAGAACAAACAGGTTCATCCTAGAGAGGATGAAACCAGGCTGCTCTTTGGAGGCAAGGATTCTGAAGCTCCATCTGACATATATTGGCCATCTTGCAAGGAGGGCCCAGTCCTTGGAGTGGGACATCTTGGGAGGGAAGAGAGTGAAAGTCCTCAATGAAATGGATTAACCCATTGACTAGGGTAGTGGGGGTAGGTGTGTCAATGGCAAGAAGATTGGCTCAGGATAGAGCTAGGTTCAGAGTTGTTGTACACAATGTTGCTGTGAGTCACAAGCAACTCGACAGAACAGGAAACATAAAAAAAGAAAAAAAAACAATAATATAAAATTTACAAATTTTATTGGCACATGAAGTTAACAAATGATAGAGCAAGACCTTGGTTCATAGGGTCACTGTGAGTTGGAGACAACTTGACAGTATCCTATAACAACAATAACATCTTGGTTTATTTATACTGATCAGTAAAATCTAGGGGAGGAAGCAAAGATCTTAGATATTTTCAAGCACCCAAGGTTGGATTAACATTTGGAAGGAGTTGCACTGCCAACCCGAAGGCATATGGTTGGAATCCACGAGCAGCCCTATGGGAGAAAGAGGCTATCTTTTCTCATGTGATTTACCGCCTCTGAAAACCCACTGGAAGATAAGCCATGGGTCAGTTCTGATATAATGGCACATAAGCACAACAACAACAATATCCTCAACTCAAGAGTTTCTTATTCTGATCCCTCTATTAACATAGAACAGGCTGCTGAACAGTTATCAAGTCAGCTCCAACTACTGGTGATGTCACATGGTTCGTAGTACAACTATCCTCTCTTGTGTTTCCAAAGGCTGATATATTAAAATTAAATTGCCAGGCCTTTGTTTTGAGATGTCCATGAGTGAATTTATATCTCCAATTTATAAAAGGGTACAGAGATCCACCGCTGTCCTTGTAATCCTGGTCTTTGAATATCACATTACTCTGGGTAGGTTTTTTTAAGGTTGAAGAAACTTTTCTTGACCTGATTTTTCCACATGATAATAATATAAATTTAGCTGTACCAGGTGTGTACCAGTCATATAATGCTTCTACTGTCAAATTATACAAAATCTATATGTTCCATTTGCATTATATCTTTTTGATACCCGCTGTTGTTTAGCTGACTTGTCTTTTCTCTCTTGTTCTTATACATTTTGTTGTTCTCTTTTGCTTATGTGTATTTTTATCCTACACACTAGACAATATGTGCAATAACTACCTTTTCTTTCACTCTGGTAAAATCACTGGTATTTATCATTGGTATTTCCTTTAGGGTCTTTCTAGCATTAAATAATGAAATTTTATTTTGATTAAAAGTACAAGCTGTGATCAAGATGTTTTAACTACATTCTTGTGAGGATTTAGGAGAATAAAAAAGTTTATTGATTTCTAGAGTTCGTCCATATACTGAGTAGCCATTTATCATAAAATATATTGAGTTGAAAAAAATTATCATGTTTGGTAGTCTCTGGAACATCTAAATTGTAACTGCACAATAACGTACTGAACAAGCAGGCATAGTACTGGAGAGGTTTTGCAGCAGCGTAGTTGTAAATGATGTATCCCAGTGACAAGAGAGTGCATAAAGGATATGGTAGAAGAAAGGTAGCAGAGAGAGAAGAGGAGGGCAGAGGATAAAAAGTGTCAAACCTACACATAAGTGAGGACAAGGAAGGA